TTAAAAGTATTATGGACTGCCAAAAGAACAAACCAATCTGTGCTGGAAGAAGTACAGCCAGAATGCTCCTTAGAAGCCAGGATGGCCAGATTTTGTTTCTCATGCTTTGGACATATTGTCAGAGGGACCAGTCTCTGGAGAAGGATATCATGTTTGGTAAAATGGAGGGTCGGAAACAAAGAGGAAGACCCTCAATGAGATGGATCAGCACAGTGGCAGTTGTAATGGGCACAAACGTAGCAATGATTGTGAGGTTGGTGCAGGACCTAATGTACATAGAGTTGCTGAGTTAGTACGAGCTTAATGGCACCTAACACCAACAACAGCAACAATTCTGGATAAGACAAGGTGCAATAAGATGTTGATAGGATTACATAATTCGTTGTCAGTGGTTAACAGAGTTCATTGTGATTGTAGAAAACTAGAACTCTAGCATGTACAAAAGGAGATGTTCCAGAAGCAGGCATGAAGGATTTCACTACCATCAAAGAAGAACCAAGAGTAGAATACATCCTTTGGACCCCGAGGTCCCTGCGCATTGAAGCTTCTCAACCCAGGGAAAGTTGTGACATGGGAGGAGCAGCAGCAGCAGAGTCAGGAGCCAGAGTACAAGACCGCACAAGCAATGGGAGCAAAAAAAGCTGAGTGACTTTGGGCAGGAGGCTTGCTTGCAGAGCTAGAGTACTTTCAGGTTGAGGCTTATGGTGAAATGGTGCCTGATGGGCATTTATCAGCAGCTTTGAAAACCTTGGTAACATTGCCTGAGCAAGGGAGAGGCCAGACCAAGGGTCCAAGGGCAAGAGAGAGGCTTGTGCCCTGAACATTTCTGACTCTGAATTGTAACCTATTCACTTTTTAAATAAACCCCAGAACTGTGAGTATTGTCTCTGAGTTCTATGTGACCAGTGCAATGAATATGCAATCCCAGATGAGTAGAGTGCTTATAGGATTATATGGTTGGCGAAATCATTGTTTTTACAGGGACCCGACCACCCATACACTTAGCCTTCCTATCCAGGTCCTTACTCCTCCAGAACTTGCCAGCCAAACCACACTGTTGCCTACAAAGTTAAATAAGATTCTGCCATGTATATATATTTCAGCTTCTTACACAACAAAACTCCAGGTTTTCTTTTCCATGAGCACCCTTCACAAAGTGAAGTGCCTTGTGCTCAGAAGAAAGGCCTCAGGAAATAGGAGCCCTCGTGATAACTATGACATTTTAGTCACAGGGTAGCAAGCCTCAGAGAGGCTACTTGAAAGGGGTCCTAGGGTTTATCTTAACACATTGACACTATCAATTTGTGGAGATTGTAACTTCCTTTACCTACTAACACTTATTGCTGTCTTACTAATGAGAGACTGGTTTCTTCATCACCAGGATATTCTAGTAACTCTGGCTTGGTGTGATAAGGGTTTGCGCTAGGAAGGAAATGGTGGGGGTGAAAAGGAAGGTTGGATGGAAGAGTCTTCCTAGGAGTGAGCAATGCACAGCCAAGACGAAGAGGACTGAGTGTGCTTGTGGTAGGCCCGCGCTGTGTTTTGTGCTGAGAAAATAAAAGCAATCTGAAGAGAACACTCTCATGTTCCCACTTGCAAATCTACCAGCTGGCCCGCAGTGCAACTATCCACACTGCCTGCCTTCCTGAAAAACAGTGAGTTGTCCGTGAGCTATCTAAGACCATCCATCTCCTCTACTTGTCCCCCAGGTCCCACCTTTGTGGTGCAATGGATGGATTTTATGGCCTTTCTAGCCTTGGTGGTAAACTCCCACCAAAAGTTTGTGTGGGACTATGCAAATAAGGTATATGGTACCCTAACAGGGGAATTGGGTCATTTTACCATCCCACAGGACTTAAAATGAGCCATCCTAGAAGCAGAAAGGGGAACTTCACAACCACCAGGAATGAAGCCTGTCCATTGGACCTGGGGTCCCAATGTTGGGAACCTCCCGTACCCAGGAGACAGAGACAGAATTATAACACTGGAGATATTGAGAAACAGGGGCACTGAAACAGAGGCAACAGAAGGACACCAGCAGGAAATGGCATGAGGGTTTCTGTGCCCACAGAAAGCTTCTGGCAAGAGGCTTGCCAGTAGAATGGGGTGCCTCCAGGCACTTGGTTGACTGGTAGACCAGAGCTAGAGTTGAGTACTTTCATGGTCATGCTTGAGCTGGGTAGAGGCCAAGGGGCCAAGGAGCCTGAAGGCTGAAGGCCTGAGAGAGGCGAGTCTATGAGCACCACTGAGAAGAGGCTGTCCTGATCAAACACCTGTATCCTGAGTTGTTTCTGACCCTGAACTGTAACCCAGAAGAGTTAATGAACCCAGAAGAGAAGTAGAGTGCCACGAGAGGGACAGTTAGAGTCAGCCTTGTAAAAAGCTTGGAGGCATGTCTGATCTCCGCCTCAAAGGACTCAGTCATGGGCTGTTCACCTTGATCCTCTTTCTTCCTGGTAGATGAGATCAGACACCTCTGCCATGCTATTTTTGCACATCTCCTCTGTATACTCTTGTAATTGTCTTCTCTTTTCTGCATTATGAATACTTCTTACCTAATTAATTTCTATAATACGTATGCTGCTGCTGTCAGGTGCCATGAGGTTGGTTCTGACTCATAGTGACCTTATGCACTTATATATGATCTATACAATGGTGTGGCACTGTGGGTTAATGCGGCAGACTGCAAAGCCATTTGAACTACAAGGTCAGTGGTTCAAGCTCACCAGTTACTCCTTGGAAACCCTACACAGGGTCGCTATGGGTCGGAATCGACTCGACAGCACTTAACAACAACAACAAATACCCTATAATACAGGGAGCATGGAGGCTCTGTAGATTAAGCACTGGACTGTCAATCACTAGGTCAGTGGTTCAAGCCCACCAACTGCTCTGTGGAAAAAAGATAAAGCTTTTTGCTTCCGAAAAAATTTACAGCCTTGGAAACCCTTTACACTGTTGTTTTGAGTCAGAACCGACTAACAGCATATAACAACAACAATAATCCTATAATACAAGGGTGAGTCAAAAAGTACCTGCACTCTGCATATATAATTTAATCAACTTTTAGAAAAGACAAATACATAATTTTTCAACATGATCTCCTAGATTTTCAACACACTTTGTCCATCAACAAGCTTTTGTATTCCCTAATTTAAAAATGTTTTAGGCTAAACTTTGAGCCACGAATGCACCACTGTCTTCACTTCATCATCAGAGGTGACTCTTCATCCTTGATGGGCTGCTTTCAGGGGACCATACAGGTGAAAGTCTGATGGAGAAAGATCAGGACTATAGGGAGGATGCTCTAACATCTCAAAATGATGTTTTCACTGAGTGTCAACACTGTGGACAGAAGTGTGTCATGCAAGATCACAATGCCCTTGGATAAAAGTCCTCTGCATTTAATCTGAAGTTTAGGCTTTAGCCCTTCAGTGAGCATCTCACTGTAATGAGCACTGTTGATTGTCAAACCTTTTTCCTAATAGTGTTCCAATACTGGCCCTTGAAAATTCCAGTAAACTGTCAGCATCAATTTTCCAGGTGATGGTTGACTTCTGAACTTTTTTTTGGTTGGTGATTGAGGATGTTTCTATTCCAAACTCTGCTGTTGACTCTCAGGCTTTTAGTGATGGTCACCGGTAGCTATTTGTTCTAAGAAACTTTTACCTTCCTTCGAGGATTGGTCCAAATTTTGTTTGCAGATGTCCAGATGCTTGTTTATACTTTTCTGTGAATTGTTTCAGTATCTATCTCACACAAACTTTGTGCAACCCAAGTCCATCGTAAATTATTTCATAGGTAGGGCCATGGCTGATTTGCAAATGATTTGTCCAATAATCCAATGTCACTCGCCGACAGAATCATTTAACATACAAACTCAATGTTGACATCAGCCGTGGAAGGGCATTTTAATATAACCAGAGTGTGGATAATATTTTACTTACTCTCATATATTCCCATTTAAATATATATGTTGTTGTTGTTTTTAAGTTCCGTCAAGTCAGTTCCAAACCAGAGTGACCCTGTACAGGTTTTCCAAGGAACAGCTGGTGACCTTGAACCGCCAACCTTGCAATTCAATCGGCTTTGCAGTCTGGCACATTATATTAACCCACAGCGCCACACCAGGACTCCTTAAATATATATATATCCTCATTCATCTCCACAATCAACCCACTTCCTCCATTCTCTTGAACTCATTTCTACTGGTCTGATAGAACTGTTTCCCACTGTATAATGGAATCGTGTAATAACTCACCAAAAAAACCTCCATGGCATTTGCTGTTCCTTCTGCCTGGACTACCCTTTGTGCAGATGTTCTCATCTGGAATATCTGCGTTCTTTTTTCTCCATAGACTAGATCATCTGACTCTACACAAACACACACACACACACACACACACACACACACACACCCCAGACAAACATTTTTCACTCTGTGGCCAGCATATTTTCCACCCACTGTCATTGAGTAGATTTCAACTCATAGCAGTTCTACTGGACAAAACCGAATTATCCAATTCTTGGATAACAATTATCCAAGTATGTAAATCTTTACGGATGCAGATTGTCTCATCTTTCTCTCCACGAGTGTCTTGTAAGTTTGAACCACCTTAGTCCAACGCTTACTGCTACCAGGATTCCTTCAGCATATAACCTACCGGAACCAAACCTACTGACATCAAGTGGATTCCAACTCACAGAGACCCTATACAAGGCTTCCAAAATGGTAGATCTTTACAAGAACAAACAGCTTCATCCTACTCCTGTTGAGCAGCTAGTGGGATTGGACTGCCAACTTTACGGTTAGAGGTCCAACGCCTCACCCACAGCGCCAACAGGGCTCCTTCAGCATAAGGCCAACAGTCAGTACGCAATAAGTATCTGTTAAATTAATAAATAAATAAGCTTCTTCTCAAGCTCATTGTTACTACGAACAACGTGCAAGAATATTCATAAGAGGTTAAGACCTCGAACCAAGAACCTCTGGGCTCCAGGAAAATGGACGTGCACCTTTAACGTATACATCAGACGTCACTCTCTTAAGAGACATACGGTAATGCTTCCGCCCTCGCGTAAACCTCGAGAAGGAGGGGGCAGCAGGATGTGTCATCATTCTGCGCCGGCCTGCCCAGCGACGCGCCGGCGGCTGGCGCAGCCCTTCGCTCGCCCGGCCTCCCCCTCCCCGGTTCCGCGCTCTGGTTCCGCCATGGAATCCAACAAGGATGAAGCCGAGCGCTGTATTAGCATCGCTCTCAAGGCCATCCAGAGCAATCAGCCCGACCGGGCGCTCCGCTTCCTGGAGAAGGCGCAGCGACTGTACCCGACACCACGGGTTCGTGGTGAGTGTGAGGCACCGGAGCGACCAAAGGGGACATTAGAACTGATGGGAATACGGGAACGGACCGACGGGAGCAGTTGGAGGAGGGGGAGGGGAGTGAGGCGCGGCTACGCCTGCGCAGTGAGTGGCGCGGTGGCTACTGGGAGGTGTAGTCTTTTCCTCCCACGCTTTACTTGAATGCTGGATACTTGACGGCTGGGTCCACTGTGACTTCAGTACTTCAACTTTGGGGTGCTTGCGGAACTCTCTGGGATTTTGGGCCCCCGAGAATGCCAGCTCCTGGTAAGGGAGCTAAGGAAATTTTAATCGAAGCGAAGTCGAACTACGTTTCCCAAAGGGCCATTTGATGGCCCAGAGCCAGTTGCTGGCCTGGGAAATACTTTACGGCAATCCCCGGGTGGGTTACAAGCGTCAGTCCGACCCCGTAAAGCCTATTGCATTAAAAACTCGAGCTCCATACTGTGGTTCGTAATAGCAGGCACGACTTTGCTGCGTGAATTAAAACATTACTGCTGGTGTATTATGTTAATGGTGTTTTAGTGTTTTTGGAAGTAGGTTTTTTTATTTATGTGTTTTATGTATAGAAAGACCCACTATATACTGACAATCACATGACTTACTGAGGATAGATAAAAATGGTACTTAACTGTTCCAACTTATGTACAATTTCGATTTAAAGATAGACTTGGGGACAGTACTCAATTGTTGACTACTTGTTCAGGGAAATAAACATGACTGCTTTAAGAGAGAGAATGGGTTCTATCTAAAAAGGGAAGGAAGACGTCTCACCTTCTTACTTCTCGGAAAGTGGCCTCCACAACATCTTCACTCCCTCACACATCCCTAGGTCCGGACCAGGAATCACCATCCCAAACTGTTTTTGTTGTTGTTAAGTGCCGTCGAGTCGGATCCGACCCATAGCGACCCTGTACAGGGTTTCCGAGGCTGTAAATCTTAACGGGAGCAGAAAGCCTCATCTTTCTTCCATGGAACAGCTGATAGTTTCAAACTGCTGACCCTGAGGATTCATAACCACTATGCTACCAGAGCTCCTTCAGAAACCAGTTACTACTGGTTTAAACCATTGTACGATTTCAGTAATGCTAGTCAGGGGAACAAATGACAATGAAGAGCTTGTTTCTGTCAAGCCCAATGGGAAGTGATTTCATTTTTGCAAAATTATATTTCCTTGCCTGGCTTGTGTCTAGTACATAATTGATTAAAACCTGTTGATTATAAGAATTTTGAAAGGTTCTAAGGGACCTACAGACAGACAC